GGAATCTTCAGCAGAGGATTGCAGATTACCTACGCAAAAGTGTTCCTAGAGATCTCTTTGGAGGATTCCCGGGACATCCCGTTGTACATTAACAAACTTTTCCACCAGTCCTGAACTGTGTAACTGCATAAGCTCTGTTGGTATTTTCTATCTCTTATCCCTCCTCTATCACATAACAAAGTAAATGAGAGCTCAATCTCCTATCACTGTGCAGTATCAAAGCAAAATGTATGCTTACCAGATCTTGCCTCTCCGGCTTCATGAGCACCAGAGCTGGAGCACTGGGACTAGCTAGACCCCTCTGGAGTCAAAAATAGGCCCTGACTCGCCATGCCACTGGATGACCCCATCGAATGTCCCACATCCTCCTCCCATTCCACTTCCTCATCCACCACTTAATCCTCGGGGTTGACACCGCAGGCCACTGCCTCCAATTCCCCCCAAGATATCCACGGGGCTCTTGGTGGTAATGGTGGGGTCATCACCAAGGATGGAGTGCAGCTCCCCATAGAAGCAGCATGTCTTCAGCGCTGCATAAGAGCAATGGTTGCCCTCCCTTGTCTTCTGGTATGCCTGCCTCAGCTCCTTGATCTTAGCATGGTACTGCTGCATGTCCCTTTCACATCCCTTCTCCTGCATGCCACGAGCAATCTGCCCATAGATATCAAAGTTCCTATGGCTAGAGCAAAGCTGTGATTGCACAGCCTCCTCTCCTAGGGTGACCAGATGTCCTGATTTTATAGCGACAGTCCCAATTTTTGGGTCTTTTTCTTATATGGGCTCCTATTACCCCCAATCCCCTGTCCCGATTTTTCATACTTGCTGTCTGGTCACCCTATCCTCTCCCCGCAGATCCAACAGCTCCAATGTACTCCATGCGGGAGCATGTCTGTTGTGGAAAGCCAGCATGGTCAGCTGGGAAGATGCTGTGTGAATAGTCCATGCTGCAACAGGAAGTGGAATTTCAAAAATACCAGGGCCTTTAAACAGGGGAGGGGCACATGCCTATGTACCTGCAGGGCAGTGGAGTTCAAACTGTTGATGGGCATTGTGGGACACCACCTGGAGACCACTTAGGGCAACATAAGCAAGTACATCGTCTACACTGGCACTACATCACTCTAACTATGTCGCAAAAAAGCTCTCTGCCATTCGTTGAGGTGGTTTTATTTTGTCAGCATAGGAGGGGATTTAAATCGGCGGGAGGAGCATTGTTGTGTGTACACCTCCACTGTTTGGTCAACGAAAGTTGACTGTTGTCACCAACGTGGGCAGTGTAGACAAGGCCCTTGTTGCACACCGCATTGTGAAATGTAGAAAAGCTCATGCCATTGCTGAGAAGTTAATTTTACCCCCAGCTATTGTGCACTGAATCGTTGGGCGAGTCAGCTACAAAACAATTAAAAACAATCTCTCTCTCCAGCGATGCAATACAGAGAAGAATCTGCAATATCTCAGAAGACTGCAAACAACTGATTGTCTTTTAGTAAGCAACTGTTTTGCTTTACAATCAGATGAATCTACAGATATATCAAACTGCACTATCTAGATGGCTTTATGTGAGGCATCTATGGGAAAGTGATTTTCAAGAACAGTACTTGTTTACTGAGGATTTGCCTATTTCTGATGATGATACATTTATTGCACTTGGTAATTACTTGGAGTCAGTGGTATAGCCAATGATTTTAGTTTATTGTTCCTTTATTGTGTGATGTTACAATTAACTAACATGTCATATATAATCATTTGTATGCTAAATAGAGTTAAGTTGTAGGATTATAAAAGCATAAGACTGATCAGTATGTAGAGGGAATAATCATGTATTGGGTATCTAAGTAACTAGGGCTGAAACTCAAGGCCTACAGGCTGAGGCCTGTAAGATTTTAGCTTAGCCATACTAGGCCTGGGAGCTAAGAAATGCTGATATAAGTAAGTGACCAAAGAATAACCCGATGCCCTAAGACTAAGGAAAAAGATGTACCAATGGGTGATATTGCAAAAATTTAAGTCATTTTTGCTTACAAGATACCCAGTAGCCACATTTTTCTAACACATGCCCTAACCTCAGGATGCACAATGTGCATAAATGCTAATGAGGTATAGTCAGAATTACATTATAAAAAGGGGGTGCCCAGAACAGGAAAATTGAGCTCCCTATGGGGAAACTCCATCAGGAACCATCCCTCTACTGATGATCAATCCATGAGAGACTCATCAGACCTTAACACAATTGTTAAGGATGTGGGTATAACTATATTTGAAACTTCTGCATAGGTCTGTATCGAATTTCTATAGAATTCCACCACCATTTGAGTAATCATAACTTTAATTGTAACTCTAATAAAACTTGTAAAATAGACTAGACTGTGTACTTGTGATAGTATGTGTGGTCACTACCCTTGGGCTTTAACGTGTTCCTAGAGGCTCTAAATTTGAAGCAAGTAGCAGAGGTATCTTTCACTCTGATAAGCTTCAGCGTAGCAGCCGTGTTAGTCTGTATCCGCAAAAAGAACAGGAGTACTTGTGGCACCTTAGGGACTTACAAATTTCTGGTGCCACAAGCACTTCTGATAAGCTTGAAACTGTAGCCACTGGAGCTGAACCCACAGTGGTGTAATACCACATTACAAAATTCACTTTAAATAAAATAAAAGGCTACAGTGGGCTTGAGCTGGTTAAAGTGAGTTTGTGTTACAATTGATGGACCCGCTTCAATGACAGGGAAACATTCAGGAGTTGTTCAAAGAATCCTTTCGCAAAGCACCCAGTGCAACATGGAACCACTGGTTTCTACACAGGGAGTCATTAGCAAGTAAAGGCATGGTATCTGAGCTTCACAAAACTCTTAAAAATGCTGTCAAAATTGTGAATTACATTTAAAAAATGCCAAGAATTCATGATGCTTTCAGGTTTTCTGTCAGGAAATGGGCAATACACATGTACATCAGCTTTACCATGCTAAGGTTCCTTTGCTGTTCTGTGGCAAACGGTTGTCTCATGTATACAAATTTAAAAGTGAGTTGGCAGCTTTTCTTGAAGAAGAAGAAAAGGCTTGTCTGGCAGAGCACTTCAGTAAAGACAAATGGTTTGCTCGTGTTGCATATCTGGCAGATACATTCAATCATCTGAATTATTTGAATTTGTCTTTAGTGATTGCAAATCACTCTGAGCAAACTGACAAAACTGCTGCATTAAAAAAAACTTTTGTGGAACAAACATGTTTCAAATGAAAGCATGGACATGTTTCGTAATGTGTCTCTAGTAGGGTGACCAGATGTCCTGATTTTATAGGGACAGTCTCGATTTTGGGGTCTTTCTTATATAGACTCCTATTACTCCCCATCCCCGTCCCGATTTTTCACATTTGCTGTCTGGTCACCCTAGTCTCTAGAAACAAAATAGTGGAAAGATTCCGCTAGCCAGGAAGCACTGAAGAAAACAATCCGTAATCATTTAACTAAATTGCACACAAGATGCTGCGATTACTTTCCAGATGAGCAACCCAAGGGTGAAGAATGGATACAGGATCCATTTGGACCTGTGTTGGAAAGCAGGAGTCTACCTATGGAGGAAGAATCTCAGCTGGTCAAGTTACCTTGCAATCACAGTCTACCAAGAAAAGATACTGAAATGAGCCTTCTCTGGTTTTGGTGCAGCGCCGCTGCTGGAGAATATCCTATTCTTGATTGCCAGGCTATTGGAGTCATTTTGCCATTCAGTACAACATACTTGTGCAAAACTGGATTCTCTGCCTTGACTCTACTGAAGAATAAAAGCAGGAACAGACTGGATGTTGTCCACGACTTTCGGATTGCTCTGACTGCAATTAGACCAAACTTTGATAAACTCATCAAAGAGAAGCAAGCTCAAGTTTCTCATGAAGTGGAACCTAGGATTTATTATACTGTTGTTAATATGTTCCTGTTGATGTTGATTTCTGCCTTTAACTTTCTGACTGTTGAGCTGCTTTAATTTATTGTAGTTAATAATTAATATTTATTATATGTAAGGGGTAATAAGTATTTGGGGACCAAAATACTGGTGTGTTTTCTACTTAAGCTATTTACTGGGTCGGGACTGGCCAGGACCCATTTGTAAACACTGATGCTCCAAAAAAGGTTGAGGACCACAGGTATAAGGCATAAATCCTGGACTTTTTCCTCCACAAGGACTGATAGGTCAAATATGGAGTGACTGTTCATTCCTCCAAGGAAATCCACACAACGCCTTCAAATGATGAGCCTGGGAGCTTAAATTCATAACTTTGCTAGATAATAAAAATCCTGGTCTTAATGAAGACACTGAATTTATGGTTTATTACAAAAATTTCTAACCCACTAATCCCCCCCCCCCCCACACACACACACACACTTATTTTTTTGTCCTATTACTGCAAAGGAGTTAACTGGCCACTACACCTGGAATGGTTTTCTACAATAGGTCTTAATTACTTACACTAAACAATTTCTTCCACCTTGTATTTAGCTGTGATGCTCTGAGTACCTTTCCGAGACCTGAAGAAGAGCTCTGTGTAGCTGAAAAGCTTGTCTCTCTCATCCAATAAAACAGGGGTGGCCAACCTGTGGATCCAGAGCCACCTGCGGCTCTTCAGAAGTTAAAATGCGGCTTCTTGTAAAGGCACTGACTCCGGGGCTGGAGCTACAGGTGCCAGCGTTCCAATGTGCTGGGGGGATGCTCACTGCTCAACCCCTGGCTCTGCCACAGGCCCTGCCCCCACTCCACCCCTGCCCTCCCCTGAGCCTGCCATGCCCTCACTCCTATCCCTTCTCTCCCCCCCCCCCCCCGAGCCTCCTGCACATCACAAAACAGCTGATTGGGAGTTGTGGGGAGGGAGGAGGAGGCGCTGATCGGTGGGGCTGCTGGTGGGTGGGAGGCGCTGGGAGTGTGAGAGGGAGCTGATGGGGGGGCCTGCTGATGTATTACTGTGGCTCTTTGGCAATGTACATTGGTAAATTCCAGCTCCTTCTCAGGCTCAGGTTGGCCACCCCTGCAGTAAAAGATATTGTCATAACCTCAGGGCTTCCCCTGGGAAGGCAGATCAGCATTGTATGTGACTAGCCCTGTTGCAAATATCGCATAGCATTTTGGGGAAGGTCAAATGTGTGTGAGTGGATAGTGGAAGTTTTCTTTGCAGAATACGAGAAGCCAGGGGGGAGAGGAAGAAGAGCAGAGAACGGGTTAACTCTACACTTCAGCTAGCTCCATGTGAAGATAAGACGCTGGCCCCAGCCCAAGCTCATGGGCTCGACAAGAAATCAGCAGCTGCCCAGCCGTGAGAAGAGAAGAACTAAGTTGAGCAGAGCTGCAGAGATAGCAGCAAAAACAGTGAGAGCAAATAAGACAGCGACAGCAAAGGCCAAGAGAAGAAAAAACAAAGTCTCCAGAGCCGGAATGTTTTGGGAAACCGAGGAGGCCACAGCAAGCCGGTTTGGACTGGCCCAAAGAGCACAAGAAGCAGAGGTCCCTGAGTGGAATACCACCCACCCCCCACAAGGAGTCCAGGACTTAAAACCCTCCTGAGAGCTGGAGCAATTTGGAGATCAACAGCGGATCCTTGGATGACCTGGGCCCAGGACAGCACTCCCATCCACCTTCCCCCCCCACACACCCTTTCTTCTGATGTTACACCCAGTCTTGGCCAGTCTGGGTCATGCGTGTGTGAGTATGAAAGTGGGTTAGGGCTTGGGGCATTAACGCTTTCTTTCTTCCCCTGAGTGACGTGGGAGCATTCCCAACACTCTCGGCTGTTGTTTTATTATTTCATTAATAAAACTTTAAAATTTAGACACTTGGTGTGCCTTGTCATCTCCTCCCCAAAAAAGATCCTGTGGCCCCAGCCTGATCAACTGTGGCCCCAGGCAGATTGGTAACAAAAATCTGTCACAATGTTACTTCACCCACCTTGTCTCTCTAATAAACTAAAAAAGATTTCACTGGAACTCTTCTGATGACCTGGGTAACTGATTGGTGGCTTCCCCCGTTGTGAATAACATGCACATCTCAAGCTCATGCCAATGAAACCTTCATCCCACGCCACACTGTCATGCCTTATTCTTCTGTATGCTACTATGTGATGTTACTGAAAGTTGTTCCAATGACTTCACGATATAAAAGAATGATGCCTTTGAGATATTTGTCCAAAATGAGCTACTATCCAAAGGAGGTCTGCTTATTTTCTTTACTCTTGCCGAAGTATGCAAGCGTTAGCAGCCTCATAAAGATGGACTTGTTGAAAGCATGTTTTCTCAGTTTCATACATCACATTTTTGAAGATGTGAAAAAGTTATATAATAAGTCTATTTAATTACTGCATGTATCTGTGTGGCATACTTGAGGAAAAGCATTTTCACACGTGGGTGTAGTTTTAACAAAGAAAATGGAGTTAAATTTATACACTAATAAGGTCACAGAGCAGCTTCAAACCCCTTCCCTAGAGATAGCATAGTCACAGTTTTGGATAGCACTTCACCGATGATCACAATGCTCTCGCTTTTTCACTTTAATACTAAAACTTGCAATTCTCTTTCCAAACATTAACTAATTGACTTCAAATGATAACTCAGGGTGCTTCCATTTTCCCTGTTTAAGGTCCATTCCTGCCCTCCATTGCATGTATGTTGGACTACATAGGCAGTTGTGATCCAATAAACCGAGCACCAAACTTGAGATTAGGAAGGCTGGGTTCTAGTTTGAACTCTGCCATTGATTAGCCGTGTGACTTGATTTATGACAAATATTCAAAAGTAGCCATTGCTTTGTGACGTCCTTCATTCTTGAGAGCTCAGCATCAGAAACAATGTGTTTCAGATTTTTCAGTTCAGCCAGCAAGCCAAAATATCAATTATTCACTCAGCTCTAATGGAGATAGTAGTACTTGCTCACCCAGCTTTTAAATTAGTTTGAGAGCTATCTAAAATGCTGCAGTATGTAAGTGCAAAGTATCATAATTGTTTTTTAGATGTGTGTCTCTTTCTGCCCATGCATTAGAGAGCTCATTTAAGCATTTCCTTAAGGAAAAAATCCCATTGCATTTAATAGACAAACTTTTTAATAGATTTTCTGAATCATTCTATAGACATTATTATTCTTGTTATAGAATTCCATAGGATGCTTTTAAAAATACATACAGAAAGGATATGGTATTTAATATGTAGAGTTTTTGGAGTAATTTCTACATAACCCTGTTGTGGTGGTTTATTAATTTCAGACAGCAACATTAAGGGGCCCAAATTAGGGATGAGAGACACGTGCTAAGTACTGTACGAATAGACAGTCCCCGTTCCAGAGTTTACATGAGATGAGACAACAAATGGATGTAACAAACAGAAGAAACACAAAGAGACAAGGAGACAATTACAAAGAAAGTATGAAGCAGTGAACACAATACAGCAGCTGCCTAACCATTGTTGAGGGTTTTTTGTAGACAGTAAAGCCAAGGGAGTTGAAGGAGGACAATGAGGTGGCTGTGCAGATGTTTACAGGGACCTCTTTCCTTCCGTAGGAGATGGCAAAGAGATGGTATTTGTTGAAACATATGACAGATAGGCAATCAAGACTAGCATCGGTGTGAGCGGAAGTGGGAATTGACATCCCGATAGCGTATAAGAGACGATAAGTAGGGTTGGAATAGACCAGGAAGGATGTCAACCCTATTGCATTTTATAGGTCTCTTCCATTCAGCTTTGTTTTCCAACATACGGCTACATTGTACATTTGTCCCGCACAGCTGGATCAAGCTTTGGGCTGAGCATACTTTATCAGTTATACACTTTTTCCACTGCAATACATTGTTCACATTTTACATATGCATACAGTACCTCTGGTTTCCACAGGTGCATTCCTTTGTGGGGGTGAGTCTCTCTATAGGAGATTCCTCTGAAACCAATGGGAATTACTCAAATGGAACAGCAGAATTCAGTCTACTGCTATCATCAGCCCAATGATGTTAATGGGAGTTGAACTGAGGTACAATATTGCCCTAGAGCTGCTAACCTCTTGGAGAATTATTGTGTATCAATTTGGGATTAAAACCCTTAGAAAGAGACCTCACAAAGTGACCAGCTCACTTTTCAAGCTTGAAGTGTGAGAAATTTCAAAACCACACTTCTTGAGTTTTTTTATATAGATTGATACTATATATATATCTTATGTGCACCCTTACTCTTAGTCTCCCAGGTTTCCAGAGAAGAAATACATTGCCCGCCCCATTTTGAATGTTTATTTGGTCTTGTGTATTCATGTCATTTGTATAGTAGGGAAGTTGTTTCCTGTAATAGAGGGAATTTAATATGGTAGAAGATGGCTGCTTTGGGTAAATGGTACCAAGTGAATGCTGGAAATTGAGTCAACAGTGTGCCCTTGTTGCCAAGAAGGCCAATGGCATTTTGGGATTTATACGTAGGGGCATTGCCAGCAGATCGAGAGACGTGATCGTTCCCCTCTATTCGACATTGGTGAGGCCTCATCTGGAGTACTGTGTCCAGTTTGGGGCCCACACTACAAGACGGATGTGGAAAAATTGGAAAACGTCCAGTGGAGGGCAACAAAAATGATTAGGGGACTGGAACTCATGACTTATGAGGAGAGGCTGAGGGAACTGGGATTGTTTAGTCTGCGGAAGAGAAGAATGAGGGGGGATTTGATAGCTGCTTTCAACTACTGAAAGGGGGTTCCAAAGAGGATGGATCTAGACTGTTCTCAGTGGTAGCTGATGACAGAACAAGGAGCAATGGTCTCAAGTTGCAGTGGGGGAGGTTTAGGTTGGATATTAGGAAAAACTTTTTCACTAGGAGGGTGGTGAAACACTGGAATGCGTTACCTAGGGAGGTGGTGGAATCTCCTTCCTTAGATATTTTTAAGGTCAGGCTTGACAAAGCCCTGGCTGGGATGATTTAGTTGGGGATTGGCCCTGCTTTCAGCAGGGGGTTGGACTAGATGACCTCCTGAGGTCCCTTCCAACCCTGATATTCTATGATTCTATGAAATCAATGACAGAGCTATGTAGAAAAATTATAACAAATTTCACAAGAAAATGGTTTTTGAAAGCTTTCATGCTTGACAGTTTCTTCTAAACAAACTTTTCATCTTAAGGTCCCTATTTCCCAAAGCAGATAAGCAGCTATTCCTTGCTTAAAGCATAAGTGGTATTTTATGCAACTCTTAATTCTTTCCTGTATTTTGAACAGCGTCTGAGCAGTGAAGCAATGCAAGGATGCTGGCTTCGGTGTGTGCTCTGAGTCCCAGACGAAAAGACAGGATCTCCTGACTTTCTATTGCTGTGACTCTAGTGACTGGGCATTTCTTAAATTAAAGCACCGAGACTCAACAATGAAGATCAGAGAGTAGCTAATGAGCTTTATTGATCATGTCTGCAAGATCATTCATACTGCCCTCTCTAAACTCCCCAAATCCTATCTGAGCATGCATTGGACTCAGTATAAACACCAGGAACTATTCTTTGCAGATAGCCTCTTTGGTAGTTGGAAAGTCCAGCCAGGAACCTGGAACTCACACAGAACTAGGTGGTCTCATGGTTATCATAGTGACAGGGACTCAGGAGACCTGGACTTGATTACTAGCTGCACTTCTGACTTCCCCTTGACCTTGGGTAAATCATTTAAGGTTGTATTATGCACCCTAACTCACACATGTGATTCCACCAACTTGAGCAAGTGTTCACCACCTTTGAGCAAGGATTGCATGGTCTGTACTTCAATCTCTGTGCTTGAGTTCCCCATCTATAAAATGGGGTAATAATAATACTTCCCTACTTCACTCATGTGATGTGAAGTTAAATTGATAATTATCGTGGAAGTGTTCAGGCCTATGCTGACGAGGATTAAATATGTATAAAACACATGCAGCAACCTGTGGTAATTTACCTATCTTCTCCTAGTATAATAAGTTATTATTAGCATACTAAAAAACAATGAAAATGGTTATAAGATACTTCTGAAGCCAAAGTTCACAGGATGTGGGGGGGGAGGGTCATGGGAAAGAGAATCAGAGAAGTAATGGATTGGATTACTTTTTAAAAAATGAATAGTAGATGGGGAATCAAAAGCAAGAAAAGAACAACCACCAGATAAAAAGAAGGAGAGGAAAAGTCCTGAAGTGCAGCCACTATCCATACATCAACGATGAAAGTGCCAGCCTGGAACAGATTTTAAGTGAAGTCTCCTGAGTCCCATATAAAAGAGTGTTCTGTTATGCTGCAAAACCCTGTCACAGCAGGAAAAGCCCCCAGTGTATAATGTGCCCTTCACACACAGTGACAAACCACACAGCAAGGCATCCCAGGCTTAATTAAAACAGTAAATAGCTAAAAAACATAAGTGGAGGGTGCTTTTGCTACTTGCAGATAGTTATGAGGGAAGATGGAGAAAATCACCACTTACACCTGAGCGCAAAGTGAATGTCACTTGTTTTTCTCAGATGTGGTCAGGTGATGATGTAACACCTTAGCTCTGCTTGATACCTTGTGATGCCATTCAGAGCCATTTGTGCAGCAAGGGACAAACTCATCAAGTCACTGTGGTCAATATTCCCAACTAAGGTGCCAAATAAGTCTACATTTGGGCACCTACACATATAATGGCCTGAGTATCAGAGGGGCTGAGTGATCGGAGCTCTGGCCATTTTTCATTAGATGCCAAAAG